CCGGGGGGCCCAGGGAGGGGGGAAAAGCTTCGCCCCGCTCCCCCCCCGCCGTTGTAGCTGCTGCCCAGAGCCCTGGGCAATATTGCCTTTGGCAATCATGGATTCTCTGTTGGCAATTATGCCCCTACTAGGAAAAAGGCCCGTTGTGGGGAAAAATACAACAACCTCTAGAAAGAGGCTCTGGACGGGTGCCCCAGCCTTGGACACTCAGTGTCCACCATTTTCTCCAGAGGAACTGATCTCTGCTACCTAAAGAAAAGTTGTAATTTTGAGTGATCTCCAGCCCTCACCTGGAGACTGGCAACGATGATTCCCCAGAAGGGAATGGTTGGTTTGGAGGGTGGAGTCTATGGCTTTGTACCTATCCGAGGTCCCACCCCTCCTGAAAAAAAAAACACGCCAATCATCAACCTGCCTTTATATCCCCCATTCTTCAGCTTTCCGCCCCCCCCACACCTGCAGCCTCTCCCCTTCTCTGAAGCCCTAACTGCTACATCACATTGGCTGTCATACTCAGCAGCATATAAGGATACAGAACCCACCATTTTCTCCAGGGGAACTGATCTCTGCCATCTAGAAAGCAGTTGTAATTCTGAGTGATCTCCAGCCCTCACCTGGAGATTGGACACATCTTACCTCAGAACAGCAAACTGTTTAGAATGTTAAGCGGCAAAAGCCACTCAAGTCGCATATGCAAACGACCTCTGTGTTCCGAGGCAAAGGCCAATGAGGCTGCATATGCAAATAACCTCTGTGTTCTGACTGGCTATGGGGGGAGGAGGAACAGCAAACTGTTTAGAATGTTGGAGGCGAGACTCAAGCAATGCAGCCAGTGGATAGGGACAGATTCTGAGTGACACACCAGGACGCCAACCAATTCCGGAGCGTGTGGAATGTTCTAGAGAAGTGCCACCACCATTCGGGTTTTATATATAAGGGAGATGAGCAATCATAGATTCTCTATTGGCAGTTATGTACTCCATTATCCCCTATGGGCAAGCGTCGTCTCCATTATTCCTTATGGGCAGTCATGGATTCTGTATTGGCAATTATGTACTCCATTATCCCCTATGGATAAGCTACCTCTCCATTATTCCCTATGGGCAGTCATGGATTCTCTATTGGAAATTTTGAATTCTCTATTGGCAATTATGTACTGCACTATCCGCTCTGGGCAAGCCTACTCTCCATTATTCTCTATGGGCACTCATGTATTCCCTATGGGCAATCGCTGTCCTTAGTTTTAGTACGTCCCGCATCAAAGGAGGTCTGCTGTTTGCAAGTAGATCAGACATGCACAAACCAAAAGCCCCCTTTAAATCTCTTGCACTTTTAAGTCACGGGGAACACACCGGAAGAGTTGCTTCAGCACACTTTAACCATATTTCTAATATTTTCTCTGATAAACCTAAGGCTGCCAACCTCCAGGTGGGGCCTGGAGATCTGGAATTATAACTGACCTCCAGTCCACCCTTTGGAAAGACTGGCTGCTTTGAAGGGTGGACTCTACAACATTGTACCTCACTGAGGTCTCTCACCAAACCTTCCCCCTAGGTTCTGACCCCGTTTCCAGGAAATTCCCAAACCATAGTTGGCAACCTTACCCACCAGGGCATCTGTCAAAACCTTCCTTGATGCCCATCAAGTATATTTAGAAAGTGGGTGTGGCTATATGGCTTCCCATTGGCCACTGGAGATCAATGGACTAAGCAGGTTAAAAAAACATTGCTTCAGAGGCAACTATCACTGCGGCGGTAGCTTTGTTCTCTACGAGCCTGTAGACAGGATTTTGTGGCTTGTGGGGAAAAAATGTTTCCAGTGGGGCTGCCATTATTTGCCATGATGAAAGGGGGGGGGGGGTAATACGCATCCCTCTCCCTCCTGCAAGATTTAAAGAGCCCTTCAGCTGAACAGCAGGGGGCATGTGGCCCTTTGGGGAAGAAGCAGGGGCATTGCACATCCACAATCCAGGCAGCGAATTTGCAGCTTGGAGTGCATGTGCACAAGGGCACTTCTTCTCAAAAGCATTTAAAGGGATCCTTTAAAGGGATCAGCTGAGGGGCCCTTTAAATCTTGCAAGAGGAGAGGGAGAGGGATGCGTGCCACCCCCACTTCTTCTCAAAAGCATTTAAAGGATCACTTTAAATGTTTTTGGGAAGAATGGGGGGGGGCTTTAAGGAGTGGGGGGGGCTTTAAAGAAGGTGGCTGGCCCTTTAAGGAAGGAGTCAGAGCCCCAATTGCCCCATCCTAGCTACAGGCCAGGTTCTCTCTCACTCCTCTTCCCCAACATTTTTTAAATTATCTGCCTTCTTCCCCTATTTGGGCTTCCTCTGTGTGTGCAGCGTTGCCTTTTGTGTCAACCATCATCATCAGGCATGAAACCAAGCCTGCTTCTTTAACAAATTGCCCAGGTTGAGAAAAGCCAGTAGATCTGCTATCATTCTTTTTGCAGCACCACCCATGTATCCATCTTCTATTTCCCCTGTACTTCTTTAGTTCCCCCCCCTCCCCAATACAAGAACTTGTGGGCACTCAATGAAATTGCTGAGCAGTCGGGTTAGAACGGATAAAAGGAAGTACTTCTTCACCCAAAGAGTAACACATGGAATTCACTGCCACAGGAGGTGCGGCAGCTACAAGCATGGACGGCTTCAAGAGAAATTGGATAAGCATACGGAGCAGAGGTCCATCAGTGGCTATTAGCCACAAGTTATAGATAGGAACTCTTGGTCTGGGGCAAGTGATGCTCTGTATTCTTGGTGCTGGGGGGGGGGGAGGAGCAACAGTGTGAGGGCTTCTAGTGTCCTGGCCCCACTCGTGGACCTCCTGATGGCACCTGGTATTTTGGGCCACTGTGTGACAGAGTGTTGGACTGGATGGGCCACTGGCCTGATCCAACATTGGCTTCTCTTATGTTCTTATGTCCCCTTCTCCACACTAGTCAACAGCATCAATACAAGGCTTTTACTTTCCCTGCAGCTTACACACATTGAAGGTGACTCAGGCTGAGCTGAGTCCAAAACAGACTCCAAAAACTTGTGCGGGGCAACGATAGTCTCCCAGCTGGTCAGCAAAAGGGATGATAATTCACTTTCACCAGAGAGAGCCTGGACAATAGCCCCAGAAAGCGGCAGCTAGGCTCTGGCCCTTATAATGTGCAGCCTAAAATAAAATTACATGTTGACTATTCTAATATTATGATCTAGTGTGTAATGTGCCAGATTTCACAGGTACCCCCCCTACTTTTGGTAGCTTTATGGTATAGTCATATGCCAGGATAGAACTAAGCACATCCAACTACATTAGTTTCAAAGCATTTAATTTTGCGTTAGAGTGTGACCGTTACTCCACAATGGCCAAACACCAAAAATTTAAAAGCAATGAGGAGAGCCGTTCTTTTGGTTACGTATACAGTAAAAATTTATTTGCATGTCGTACAGCTCAAAAGAAACTTCAGCTACAGTGTGCAAGCTGGACTGTGTACTGTATGAAAGCCTTTTTGCAGATAGGATGTCTCATGCTGAATAAGTAGCATTTCCTGACAATCAAAATAATTGACATCCTGATTTTTCCCAGAAGGCAAAAAGTGTGAGAAAATACTGATTTACTAGGTTAAAAAGTAAAATACCAAAAAGCATGATATTTAAATTTACTTAAGATGCAAATGTACATGTTTATGGCTATCAGCTGCCAACTTCATGTATAAAACTTACATAGGGTATATTTTAATAGACAGGAATTTAGTCTTTTGGAAAAGTCACAAAAGACAAACTGTGCAGCTACTTCCATAGACTGTAGAGCAATGTGCCCTCTAAGCTGTGGAGTCCTGTGAGCAAAAATTCTACTTTGTGAACTACTGGCATTAAAGTTGTGAACAGGTGGCTACTGCATAAATTAGTTTGCTCTGGAACCATCCTTCCTGGGCTAATACAAAAATGTGAAAAAACTGTGAGCTAGCTCACACTAACTCAGTTTAGAGGGAACACTGCAAGTCCCCCACCCCCAGTGATATGATAGTGCACAAGTTCTGATTTATCTTGTTTGCTACACAAATGAGTCCTGAGGGCGTTAGTGGCATTAAACTTTAAGTTGCTGTAGGAATATGCTGTGACAAGATTTGTAGTTCTACCCTCCCCAAAAAACCACTCTGAAAGACATAAAGAACTCTTTCGG